TAAATATGCCAAAACTGGAGTAGAGAAATATTATTACCTTGTGTTTTTTTTTTGCATATATTTAAATAATGTATTAATTATAGCTTTGTTTGCGTTTAGGGAGAAGAACAGAGAAGAGTTAACATGGAGGACGAAGAGGTCCCACAAGGACCAAGGCCGGATTTGGTAAGTCTAATATACTAGAAGTTTACTATGGTCAATTTTTTTCCCCTCTTTTTATAATCCATAAATGCTTATTAACTAATTTCCTTAAAAGGGTTGGATAATTTTTCTTTATTTTGTTTTTTAATTGAAGTTTTTGGGGTTTAAAAAATCTGAAAATTAGACCACAGGTAAATTTAAAATATACAATTATATCAATTTTTTCTTTATTTTGTTTTTTCAGCGACGTTATATGGAAATGTTGGTTAGAGAAGAGGTAAGTACCAAAAATAAAAATTTGTCGTTTAATGAGATACTATGGGAATACGACCCTAGAATGCATGGACATTTAATCGACTCTACTGGAAGATTCATTATGGATAAGACAATCAATTTCTATTAAACTATTTCGAATTTCGTAGTTTTTCAATTGAAAACTTTTGTTTATGTTATTTTACAATATGATGTCGTATTCAAATATGTATCTTTCTGATTTTCTCTCAGAGCTCTATCAACTTTTAAAACTTAAATGGTAACATCTATGTATATTTTATTGGCTCTTTTAATTAGTTAAGTGCGGTAAAGTTGTAAAATTCTCCTTCCCCTCTCCATATTTATTAAATATTTATTGTTATTTCAAAAATGTTTAATCAAATTATCGCTTATTTAAAAAGTTTATCAAATATTTATACATGGAACCTGAGTTTTAAGAGTTGATTACACCCTGGAAAGTTGTTAATAAAACAATTTTTTGATAATTTTCAGAGGAGGAAGCATGCTTGTATGAGGTGCAAGGAGTTCGGGCACCTCGGGCACCAGTGCCATCTGCCCTGGGTGGAGTCCAAAGAAAGTCCCGAACATTATGCAAGAAGAATGAGGGGGCGCCGTAGGCGTTAGAGATCACTCTAGTGATCTCAGTACATGCACCGTTCTATACCCTGTTCGCTAAGAGAGCATGCCGGCCAGTGTTGGGAAAAATCGTAATCATAACTACCATTACGTTTATAATCATGAAAATTTTAAGGTGTGATTACGATTACGCCCAACACTGATGCCGGGTTTGCGCGTGTAGACTGAAGACTAAGTAGCAAGACTAAGGCAGGCAGACAGAGCGGACTTACGGGGGAACGTTAGTCACATGCCGCAACCCAACGAAAATTGGCCGTTCTGCGCACCCCCCCCCCCCCCCCTCCGTGGCACCAAGTGTGACTAACGTTTCCCCCGAAGTCCGCCCTGTCTGCCAGGCTTAGTCTTCAGTCTACATGCGCAAACCCAGCATGCTCTCTTAGCGAACAGGGTATAAAATGGTGCATGTACTTTTTGGCCTGGCTTTGATACCGGCACATCAAAGCCGACTAGGCCCTTATTTTGGTCGCCGGGGTTCCCACTCTAGCCGCATCTTCTCAGACTTCGATACCTCCTACCACTCTACCTCTAGTCCGCCAAATGCTTTTAATCTCCAGTTCTCCGGTTTTATCGGTCCAACCACCACTCCTTATGTCCTGGGTACTTGACCCTTTAGCTCATCCGTCGTCACTCTCCTCCGGCCGCCTCTTGTTGGCGCATTGAGAGGTGGCGCAGACACTCTTGTGGCGATCTCCTATCAACCTCGCTCCATTCTACAAGTTGCTCATGAACCTTACTCGCATGTCACTGGCCGGGCCAGTGGGAAAAGCCGGCGACATTTCGGCTACCGACTACCGTTTGACAGTGTTGGGCAAATGTAATCTGTTTAATTATTACGATTAATAATAGTAATCAGTAATCATCGTGTTAGATTAATACAATCATATAAATGTAATCATGATTACATTAATCTTTCAAATGTGATCATGAAATGATTAATGATTATATTTTTTTAACCGCCATAGGTTTTATGTATTACATAATACATATATTAAAAAAAAATATATGGGATGTCTAAGACGATTTGACCTTTGCAATATCATCTAGACAATTATTATTATTTTGTAATAAGCCTGGGGCGGTTAAACAATTTTTTTTTTTGTAATGTTTTCATGATTACAATTGAAAATATAATCATGATTACTGATTACTTTTACAAAATGATAAAATGATTAATGATTAATTTAATCATGATTACAATGTTGTAATCGATTACGTAATCCAATAATAAATTAATCGGTTACGCCCAACACTGCCGTTTGAAGGGCATTACTGCCAATATCATACTACAATATACATGTATTCTTTTTTTTGTCCCTTTAAGCATTTTTGTATTGTCGTACCTATTGCACCACACCTTCAGTTTTGCGCAGGCGAACCTTCCCACTTCTGATGTGATGTGGTGTAAATAGATGAATAAAAGCCATTTAAATACAAACTCCACCCCATTGAATTGTAATAACTTCAAAGTTAACATTATAATTTTTTTTTTTATAAAAATTGTTATAATATCTAATGTAAAAAAAAATATTATGTAAAACCATCTGGTTAAAATCATATTATTCTTGATAATGTGTGTATAATAATATACAATAACCGTAATGTTAATAAATACAGTACTAATTGCTAAACAAAAAAAAATGTTTTTTATTTAACTAAAATACATTGATAATAATATACAAGGTAATGCAATGTTTAAAACCAATTGCGTAATGTAAACATTTTATAAAAAGTACAGTGTTGTTTAGGGCTTAAATTCATGTGAAATAAACACGTTGGGTATCCATCATCAGAGTGTAATTGATCTATGCGAGGACAAACAATATCTTCAAGGTTAATTATGTTAATATGTGATAAACTCATGTAAAATATCTTTTTTCTGTAGTCCATATATGGTTGTAAATGTTAAAGCATTTAAAATTATTGATAGTTCTTCCGCTTCATAATGAGGTGCCATTGAGTGAAGGTGTTTGGTTAGCCATTTGTTAACATTTTGTGTTTTAATGTTTAAAGATTGTGTAACATACATACCTACTTTTATATATATATATGTATGTATATATATATATATAAATAAAAAATAAAAAAAAGTACCAACCAACCAAGTTCATACTTACATTGGGTTCATTCGGTTTTTATCGAGAGCTCAGACAACACATCTGTCCTTTTTTTCTTTTTGTACTATTCGTTGGTGAAAAATGGAATACGAAGTTGTCGACGGATTTCGTAAAAATAGTAAGCTACATCATAGTAATGATGGCTTTTTTTACCGCGTAAAGAAAGTGAGGCTATCGTCTACCTCACTAAGTTGTATAAAACCCAACTGCACTGCGAGAGGTATGCTTTATTGCTATATATTATTTTAGAAAATTAATCTTTTTTCTCAATATGAATTATTTGTAACCCGATTGTAAATGGAAAACTGAAGCAATTAGTAGTTAGACGTAATCGTACTTATTTTACGAATACACAATAATGCAGTGTACCATTTAAGTATAACTCAACAGAAGATTTTTTTTAATTAGGTAATACTCCACTTAATTAGAAAAATATCTTTTAAAAGGCTTGAAATAAAAACCGTTTTATTTGATTTTTTTTAGAAAATAACACTATTTTTCAAAGAAAAAAGGCCAGCACCATGAGTTGCCCTAGTACACAGTTTATAGATTTTAATATGATAATTTACAAAAATTGATCAATGGGTTAACTATCATGAATATTTTGTGGCAATTAGTATTTATATTCATAATAATTTTTTATAATCCGATTTGGTATAAAACATAACAATGATTAAAGGGATTGAAAGCGGACGGTTTTTAAGGGGTTTTATAAAAGGCAATATTTAAGAAAAAAGCAACTTTTCGAACATTTTCTTTAGTTACAGGTTACTTTGTAAAAGCTAGAGGCATCATTTTTAACTTTTACAATTTATTCTCCGAGTAAATGCCATTTTGTACTTACAAGAAATTAATTAAGGGAATTGCATACGGTCGGTTTTAAAGGAATTTTGTATAGGCAATATTTAGGAAAAATGGTTTTAATAAATTTTTACCATGTCAATTAATTTACCGGTTAATTTGTATAAGCTTCATGGTGTTATTTTTAATTTAAATTATTTTGTCTATGAGTAAAGCCATTTTAGTTAATATAGTATACATATTTTGTTCCATCGCACAGGCTGAACCAGTGATCCGATAATTTATCTGAAAATATATTTGAATTTGCCATGAAGTTTACTTCATCGGTCAGGGCACTTTTTTAAAATCTTATTCCTACTATGTACAAAACCCGTTTGAATATTATAAAAAATTTCAAATTTTAAAAGGGTAAAGGTAAAGGGTTTAAATTAAAAACCGAAAGTGTGCCCTGAACGATCCTAAGTAAACTTCATGACGAATTCAAATCTGTTTTTAGATTGTTTATCGGATCACCGTGTTGGCTTATGCAATTGAATAAAAATGATGTTTTGACTGAAAAAATTGACCGCATGTAATCCCCCTTAAGACCTAAAATCTTGACAAAACTATGCCTACTTAATATGATTGAATTTTAATTCTGTATAAATATTTGGGCTCATGAGCTTTTTCCCTAGGTTACCGTGGAAGTCGGATTAATAAAACAATATAAAGGATACTAAAAACTTAAGAAATTAAAATAGGATTTAAACACAATTTTAATTGAAATATAAAATTATTTACACAATAACCTTGAAAAGAGGACGATTAACTTGACATTTTTTATATAAAATTCAAATTGGACATTCTACGTAGGCGTAATTTTGTCAGGATCTTAGGTCTAAAACTTCGAAAAAACCAGTCCGCTTTTAATCCTCTTAAGGCTGAAAACAGTTTATAACATTAAACTCTTCTTAACACAATATTGTAATTTTTTTTATTATATAAAGGACTTATCTGGAATGATAGATTTGAGGTGATCGGACTTCATAATTATGATCCTGATATGGAATATTTGTCCGCTGTACGTGTAAAAAGCCAAATTCTTCATCGTTGTTCAACAGAATTGACCAGTCTTAAAGTCATTTATGATGAAGAAATAACACAGTAATACCTACCTTTAATAATAATTTAAAAATTAATATCAATGACGGCATTATTTATTACATTATTTAAACTGAGCTGATTAATTGTATTTAAAACTTGATGTCTCACAAACACAGGCGGAGGCAACTGTGGCAGCTGAGCTGCCTCACTTCAACCTATTTTATTGCATAGTGATCTGTGATCGTTTGGTTTATCCATAAGTTATTTACATAATATATATTTGTAATTAAAAAATCTAGCAAGCGTAAAAAATTGTTTAACCTAAATAGGCGTAAATAATTGCGTAGTTAATTATAATTTAAGTATATGTTGAATCAGTAAATTGATAAAATAGGTGTACTTCTTAGTACACTTTTGAAAACTAAGTCATGCTGTAAACTACGTTCATTTAAAAATGTCCGTATATTCCTCTTAATTTAATAGAAGTAGGTTAATTTAAGCATGTTGTAAGTGTTTTAGACTACCATTATTAATTATTTACAAACTACTAAAAAGACAAGGTTTTTTTAACACGCTTATATTAGCTTCACTTGTATGTAACTATGTAACTAAAAGAGATAGGCAACCGAACGTACATGCGTGTATTCATTGTTGCACTGGGCCGATGTCACTACATTTAAAAATAACATTATATATTGCCTCCCCTGTAATTGAAGCCCGCAAACGCTTGTGGTCATTAAAATGCATATTAAAAAGTTATTTTATACATCTTATTAGTATATTTTCATAGAACACTAAATAACTGTATACCTATAAACGTATTTCGTAAGCCTTTCTGTTCAATAATAATAAAACAAAATTTGTTTTATTATTATTGAATACTAAAGTATTTAATACTTAATGAAAGTCCTACCGTTTTTAAATATAAGAACACTTAATATTAAAATTAAGTTCTCAAATCAATCAGCTCAGCATAAGCATAATTATTTAGTAGTTCAAGACTTACATATTCTATACTTAGATTAAACCATGTTAACACTCAATTGGCGTACACCAGCTTCAAGCGAACTATGGAACGGGCCAGGGCCGAGGCTCAGCCATCGATACCCCAGACTCTCTTGGGATATGCGGGCAATTTGTCCGACCCGAGGTACCGGCATCTATTTTTAACGTCTAGCAACGAGGAGTTGTATAGGGGCTACATAGATGGAGGTGTAGAAGCTGGCGAAGCAGTGGTTTTCATTTCGCCTGCAATGATGAAGTAATCATTTAATTAACAATGAAAAAATATGTGTTACAAAGAAAACATTGCCTTTGATCCCAAAAACATATTTCTTAAGTATTTAAAAAAAATATATAACTTATTTAAAGAAAAACGATTAAAATTTGTATAAATTAATTTCTTTCAATTAACTATAATGAATTATCTCCAACAAAAACCTAACAGAGAAAATTGGCCAAGTTCCAAGACTAAATATCAAAGTAGTGATATTTACATTTCAAAAGCTTATCTTAGGAGGAATCAGAGACATGTGAGTTAGAAAAACTGGGTGAATTGGTTCGTTTAAAGATAAACTGGCATTACTGAAACTTGGCCTAGCACACTACTGTGCGCTCAGATAGCTGCTTGTAATATTTTATGGACAAGTACAGCAGCATATTTAATATCAGTCCAATAGCAAATAGTTTTAATACCAATCTTTACAAATTAGAATATATAATTGCTTACCTAGATGATTTTTTTTATAGACAATATTATAGCTTAAATGTAATTTTAGTTTATTAGGCAGTTCACATGAATTACATGTAGATGGCACGTTCAAATCGAGGCCTATTCAGCCTCAAACTGAACAAGTTTTAATTATTATGGCCATTTACATGGATCAGGTAATAGAAAATATATAATAAATTTAAAAAACGATTTTTATGAGTTTACGATTAACATTTTTATTTATACGTTTACTTAGGCTTTTCCGGTTGCATTTGTGTTGATGACAAGGAAGACCGAGATCGCGTACCGGTGCGTGCTTGAATACGTAAGGGATCTTATTCCAGGCGGTATTCAAGCAACAAACATCATTACTGACTATGAAACCGCATTAACCAATGCACTGAGGAATACTCTGCCAGCTGCCAACCTGCAGCGCTGTTGGTTCCACATGGTGCAAGTATGAAAAATGTTTTTAATAATTCTCTCATCATTTCTGGTGCTATAAAATATAGCATCGTGTGTTGCCATTTAAAAATGTTTATGGTAATTTATAGGCACTTTAGAAAAATGGTAAAGAGTTTGGCATGCGGCGACGTGAATATCGTAACGACTTGGCATTGCATAACATGTTTCGCATGTCGAAGGCTCTGGCCCTTTTACCGGTCGAGCACATAGCCGAGGGTTTTAACCTGATCAAAGAAGAGAGTAGTCACGCGGAAAACGAACAAATAGCTCGTCGATATATTAATTACTTCGAGAACCAGTGGATGAACCGTAAGTGTTTAGTACTGCAAACCTTAGAAAACAGTTTTTCAAATCACTTTGTATTATTATGGATATAATATTCATTAAATTTACCTAAATTAATAAGATTCATAATTATTGTACAGAAGCCTCCCCCTCCGCCAGTTGTAATACTAACAAAAGAAAAAAACAATTTGATTTTGTTTGATTTTCTCTCAATACTAACATAAAAGTGAAATGCGTACATCTATATGAAATAAAGATTCTAGATAATAATAAATAGTTAATTATTACAAACAATACCTAATATATCCTCAAAAATGAGAAAATAGTTATTTAAAAAATAATTAATTTACCTTTGTACATAGTGGAGAGGAAATGGCAGAGTGGGTAAGGCATTAGTGTGTTTGGCACTCACTGTTGCCGGGCAAAAAATCGTTTGGTTAAAAGAAGCCGCCATCTCTCCGGCAATCATAGCTATAAATTTTTAAAACGCTCTCGACTCCAAAATACTGAATTTATTTTTATGTATATGAAATGGTTAAAAAAAACTAAGCAAAAAAATTTTATTTTTTACAAAAAATTTTCTTTTATTATCTCATTGTATAATACTTACTATAGGAACCGGTGCGCAGAATTTTAGCGTTTACGGACAGGCCAGGAGGACAAACAACGATCAGGAGGTCTTTCACAGAATTTTAAACCAACAAATGAATATAACAAGACCGGGAATTTGGAATTGAAGCTGCCGATACTGTAGTTGAGGCTGCTCCCGTTGTTGAAGCTGCCGATCCTGTAGTTGAGGCTGCTCCTGTAGTTGAGGCTGCTTTTGTTGTTGAGGCTGCTCCGGCTGTTCAAGCTGTCCAAGATAATAACGCCATTCTTCCCAGTAAGGCTCTGAACAGAAATATTAAAAACAATTATAATAGTATACAACATATTTTTTAATGGCAATACATTATATTATATATAAGAAAAAGGAAATATTAAACATGCAATATTTAAATTTAATAAAAAAACTTATAAAATGGCTCGTACACCTAAATAATAAAAAAGGATACCCTGTAAAAATATATTTTGTCCATATCATAATAATAATAATTTTTATGACCATTAATATTATTGTTGATAATCCGTTTATATTTTTATTTATTTGTGTTAATAGTTAATGATGACTATCACATACCCGAGGACGACGACGAAGTTCTCGCGTTTATCGGACAAATGGAAAGACAACGTTTGAGAAGGGAGCAAGATAATATTCCATTCGTTTCGGCTAATTTAAATGAGGATATAACACCGCGACAAATAAACAGTTGTGGCATTTGCTTGGCAGCCACTAACACACATGCCTGCATTCCGTGTGGGCACAAATGTTTATGCCACGATTGCGGTGAGGAGGTGAGGGGCAGAGGGCGTTGTCCCATTTGCAATTCTGACATCTATATGATTGTCAGAATTTTTGACTAGCATCATATTGTGTAAATATTATTTTGTATATAAAATTAATTCTGTAAATAATAAGTGTAAGTAGCGTAAATATTGTAAATTGTAAAAATAGGGGGTTGTGATAGATCGCCTCCTCGTGGTACCCCCTGGGCAACGTTCATCTTCTCAAGACGAACGGCTAAAGATCTATTAACTCAGTGGCCAAACTATCATTTATAACGTTCTCCTGGCCTGATTACATGCAACCAAACCGAACACAATCGAATCGAAAGATTCTCAGGCCACCTAAGAAAGCTAGGGTCTACCCTACGCATTTGCCAAATCAATATTGAAGGTATTAGCAGATCAAAAAGTGACTACATCTCCCGAATCCTCAGGGAACAAGACATCAATATAGAAGACCCAGAATCGACTCCATATAATTTTGGAAGTGTTGTATAATGATAAATGAGTTTTTTTTAAAATGAACATTCATACTCGTAAAAATCAAATATTATGCCTACCAACGAATATAAATAGTATAGTATATATACATTAATATTAAGGACTGCGGGAAAAAAGATCAATGTAAATTTTTTTTGAAAATTCGATTTTGGTATCAAATTATTTGTATTGACGTATTGTATCTTTTATGCGCTCGAACTAGGGAAAAAACAGATTAGTCGAGTGAATAAAAATATATTAAATTTTTCCCAACTGATAAATATAAAAATATAAAAAATAATAATAATAATTAAAAAAAAACCGAATAAGCAAGTCACCGTACAGTACCACTGCAGGTAGAAGAATAAACATACCGCGGACGCGGTGGCCGGTCACCGGTGGATCGGCACTGGGCGGCAAAATTTTCGGAGACATTATTTTCGGTTAATACATGTTTCGGCTTAAAAATTGTTCGATGAAAATTTTTTCGGAACTATTATTTTCGGCGTTAATGTTTTTCAGCTATAATAATTTTCGGTAAAATTATGGTCGGACCAAATACTTTCGGCTAAAATATTTTCGGCTTTTTTATAGCCTCCCAATAAAATACTTCTTTGAATAATAGGATAATCTTGAAATATTTTACAAAATAAATAAAATATATTATATTACTTTTTTATATCCACTGTACTACTGTATATTTACTATCGGAATTTAATTCTATCAGCTTTAACGATTACGCTGTAAAGCAAAGGAAGTGTAATGGTGTATATAGTAGCTCAAAAGGGATGAATGGGGTTGCCTAGTAATACCAAAGAGTTACTGTAGTGTCAAATGTGTAGTGTATGTATAATGTTGATAATTTGAAAACTTTAATAATTTAAAAAAGTTCCTTTTTCGGTTATCATTAGTACTTAAACTAGAATTGCCTCACCGGTGCAACAAACAGTTAACTAAACAAAATACAATTGTGAATAAAATTCACACACAACAAATTAACTTAATTTCTGGCCAAGGGTGTAGCGAGGTCATTGTTCCCAAATCCATTCGGCCGACTGACTTTACAAAAACAAAATGTACACGCACAAGAACTAATTAGTCATTTTTTTTCCCCTTACTTTTTAATTTTCTCAATGTTCTTATGTTGAAATTTTAAAACTAATATATACGCAAAAATAAGAATACTTGTTAAGAACCCCTTAATATTTTTTTGTGTATAATTGTATGGTGTATAAAACACACATATGGTCGTCCGATTACTGTCGGCCGACAGGAATGTGCTGACCAAAGGGTTTTAGCGTGAGACCCGACTAACGTCCCCCGTTATCCGGTGCCCTGTCGTTAGTCGTAATTCTACTATTCACTTGTGTTGTTCTACGTCTTAGTCCTACATCTTAAGTTAAACCATACTATTTAATATTGTTGTCTAATGTTATTCTATGTCTATCGTGTAACTAACATTATTTTTGTTGCGTTAATTCTATTAAATCAATTCTAATTCATACGGAAACGAGTGTTGTTTCAACTTATTTACTTTGGTCACCTTGGAGCCCTAGGCCCGCATAACAAACTTTTAAATGAATATATTTATAAAAAAAAATGCAATGGATACAAAAAGTGGTTAAATGTTATTTCATATTTTTTTTTAGAACCGCCCTTGTTAAGACCATTTTTAATAAATAATATTATAATTTTACTTAATACTAATAAAGAATAACAAATATACGAAGTAAAACAGGGCTGCGTATACCTTTGTCCCTAAGAAGGTATATTGGGCAGGCAATTCAACCGGCGCACGACCGTAAAAATACGGTCTGCCACATTACTGTCCGTAGCATTATTTTTTGCGAATTTGTACGGTCCGTGACAATATTTTCCGTGACTTTACGGCTTCCCCGCGCAGACTTGTATGTAAACCTAACCTAACCTAGCCTACCTAACCTACCTAACCTAACCTTATGTATATATATTTCCAAGTATATAAGTTCTTGCACAAGACCTGTGAAGAGTTAACGTATACAACGATTTGTTTTTAAAAAATCGATCAGCATATAAAAAAACACCACGACGTCGTCGTGTCGGCGATGATAGCGTAAAATCCTCTAAACAATATTTCCTTATAATAATATTACTATCACGTATCTTAAGACAATCTTAAGACCATAGGCCGTCGCGTACTACCGCACAGCTGAAAGAATATTGTGACCCACACTGCAAAAGCAATTACTTTGGGTAAACAACGATTTAAAAAGTTGTTGTAACAAATCGAGTTTCGTTTGCATAGAGTTGTTTTCTACTCAAATCTTTAATATAAACAGGGCAAGATGTTTTTTAATGTACGGTATTAATACTAACCTAACCGCCACCACGTGGTACAGGTAGGGTTAAGCGGGACGAATGTAAAAGCGTAGTTTTTTTCAAATGTCAGTAAAAGTATTGAGTTAAAGCTAAAAGTAATTGTCGACGGTATCTAAAAATAGCTTCACTACATATGTTCTGTTGTATGACGGTATTAATAAAAACGATCCGATAACATGCGATATTTCTACAAAATATATTTGCATAAAAAAATGAACCAGTAAACTTGTGAAATACAAAATCATATTATTTTACAATATTATGTAGTTTGTGTTCCAAGTTGGTATAAGACGGGTTACGCACCATGGCTGTGGCGTACAGCTACTTGGAGTATATACAATTAGTTTATACAATAATAATATAAGTTATGGGAAAATTGTTAATGTATGATAACATTATATGATATGTGAACGTTTCAAATGAATAACAATATAAATTACAATGACACTGACGATTATCCATACTAGAAACATCGGCAGAAATACCATGATAGTCAGAAGTTTCAGCAACAGTGCATAAGAAGTCAATACAAGTAGCCACGGTGCAATAGCCGTGAGTAAGAGTACCAGTATGACAATACTAGCAAAAATCAGCACAATAGCTACTGCACTGACCACAACTCCGTAACACACCTTTGCGAATAGGCCTTTGCCCATTTCTCGGATACCAGTCAGAAAGGTCGTTCCAACAACCTGTTAAATACATTTGAAGAATACAGCGATAGAGTTAAATTCAACAATTAATTTTAAACTTACAAGTTCTGGTCGGTGGGGTAGGTATATAACTGTTAAAAACAAAATAATATGTAAATTTCTATGAGAAGTTTATTACCTGTGTGTCGACCTGCAGGATCGACAAATTTGGTTTTCCAAATTCAATAAGTGAAGTTCTGTCAAGGTTTTTGACTTTGGCAACACGATGCCAAAACCCGGGTAGGAAATCATATCTACACTGCAGTGCAAATGGCGGCTGTCCATCGTCAAATTCCAACTGACTTGTTCTTCCTTATATAACTTTTTGAGATAGGTATTTTATATTTTAATAGATTTCGGAAAAACTTTTAAGCGCAAAATATTAAAATTTCTATGAGAAGTTTATTACCTGTGTGTCGACCTGCAGGATCGGCAAATTTGGTTTTCCAAATTCAATAAGTGAAGTTCCGTCAAGGTTTTTGACTTCGGGCAACACCATGCCAAAACCCGGTAGGAAATTATATCTATACTGCAGTGCAAATGGCGGCTGTCCATCGTCAAATTCCAAATGACTTTATGTAGTCCTGATTGGCTCATTGTTCCAATCAACACAACGATCATCAACACAAAAACCGTATAATACAATTTATACATATTGTATTAGTTGTTAGAAATCCTTCGAAACAGGAAAAATTAGAAAAAACGGTTCGGAGAAATATGTTGTTTTACACTGAAATGGTGCGGAGATACAAATGTAATATTAACATCAATAATAACAGTTACGATATAAACAAGCCGTTTTTAATACATATGTACCTATATTTAGAGTATTTGCCAGCATATAAATAAGTATATAATATGTTTTTAAATAACATATGTGTTACTTTTTCTTTTTTGAGTGCCGTAATCGTATATGTTAGACTTATCTTCTAAGATTAATTTCCAACCCATAAATTGTATGAAAAAAATTGTGTTTTATTTTATAAAATATTATTTTACACCAATTCCTTATAACTATAGGTATATTGTAGGAAAATGTATTTATTATTTTATCGGTTGAGCCCTGCATTAATTCACTTTCAAAATAGTTGTAATTTTTCAGTTTTTTTACACGTGTATTGTTCAAATAATAACATGTTTTCATATGAAACTAAAAAAAAATGAGAAGCTTCTCTAAAAAAGATTCTATCAATTTAAAAAAAAATATCATGCTTCTAGTACACATTTTATAAAAGCGATACCAAAAGATCTGATTTAGCTTTACTGATTTATTCTATAAAATTATAAATATATATTTTATGATGAATATACTTGATACTTATATGCACAAGTGTAATTTCATAAAATGCTTATATGCGATAATGCAATTTTTTTTGCGCGACCCCCTCCCTCATTTTTTTCCAATAACTAAAAATAATAATTCATGCATAATTGTCTGAAATCGGGTGAAACTGTAATTTTCGAAAGATATTAGTTTTTAGCCATAGAATTGAAATTTTTGGGACTTCACATTGCACTTATGAAATATTGTAAGCATTTCAAAAATGTCCTTATTTTGTCAATTACGTATATTAATGACTACG